AATTTTCACCGTAAGATTTTTTTCGAAAATCATCCGAACAGAACGGTCGCCCGTAACGTTCAAACCCATTCTTCGTTTCTATTCATGTTCGTCGATTCATCTTGCAATTCCCGAGCAATGAACATGCAGACAGTATGAAGTTCATCATCATGATCTCCATATCAAACAACAAGCGGAAAAAAATCAACGGGAAAACAAGGCAGAGATCATAACCGAGGCTCTGATACCAATGTTGGAAGCAAGTGTCGGGTCAATCGACTAACCTGTTCGATGCACTACGAACAAAATTTCCAAGAACGTACGTTGAATCACCAGCAAACGATGAACGAATCTACTTCACGTTGGTCCGAATACAATCACAGGGAAAGTATTTTTGTTCCACAGCGTTAATGCCGATTGTCTTCTCAAAGTAGATACGGAATCCTTATTCGTCGAGAGAGAGAGTTCTGAATTTCTCTTGTATATTGTTCATCTACCGAGGAAGTTATCTTAACTTCCATTAAGAAACTCTCCTCGCACCTCTTCAAAAGGTATCTCTCAGACACACCTCTTATTAGAGCAATGGTATCCCTCGGACACACACATCATGGGCGGACCGACGAAATATAACAGGTTTAATCTTGCTATTTCTGACTAGTGTCAATTAAAGCCTAGATAAGTTCTTATGCTAGACATTGTTGGGTTTGTGCTTGTTCCTTTAAGTGTTGTTCATCCGTCTATGCTGTAAAATATATAGTTGTAATTATTCCCACCGATATAAAGCAAGGAGTGAGAATTTTTGTATTGGCTTTCAGCTTTTGTTGTTATCTAGGTCCATCCGTGAAGAATAGTGGATGGAGAAATGTAAGTAAGAAGTAGGGGTAAGAATTTCAGGTTTTAAGGTGATACGAGATTACATTTAGTTGTATTTCAATTATGTTACGCATTCGTTTTTTGTTGTTGTTGATATTTTAGGAGCATAGCTATCTGGAAGCCCATGCAACACTCTGCAAGTACCATGAACCTCTTAATTTCGGATATTTGGCCCATGCAACTCGCCCTAACTCAGAGCAGTTTGTAAGTAATTGATGAGATTAGAAGGAAGTACCTTTCGTTTTTGAGTTAGAAGTTAACACCACAACTAATCACGCCAACTTTGGAATTGCTGTACACACTCTTCATCCACGCCACGAAACAAAGACCTATAGTTCTGGGGCACAATGGCCAAACATTTGAGTGGGTGCGTACGCTAGAAGCATCATTAAATAAGCCGAAAAGCAAGCAATGTCTTGCGTTACTAGTGAATGAATGTACTGTTTTTTTTTGTGGAGCAAATGGGAGTAACAGATTTTCTCATCAATGTACTGTTTTTTGTGGGTTTGATCTTGCTTTCTGACTGTGTCCGTTAAAGCCCAGCTAAGTTCTTATGCTCGACATGCAAGGTCTGTGCTTGTTCCTTCAAGTGTTGTTCATCGGGGAAATTACCAATTCAGTCCTCAACCTATTGCATTTGTGTCAATTCAGTCCTAAACCTTTCAATTTGGCCAATTCAGTCCTAAACCTTTTGCAAATCAGCCAATTCAGTTCTTTTGGCCGGCCGGCGCTGACGTAGCCGCCGGCCGGCTGACGTGGCGCGCGGCCGGCGTCCACGTGGCAATTTTTAATATTTTTTTATTATTATTTTCAAATTTTTTTTCTTTTTTCTTTTTTCTTTCTTTTTTTCTTTTCCTTCTCCCCCCTGGCCTATCCGGCCAGGGGGGAGGCTCGCCGGCGAGGGCCCAGCTCCGGCAAGGCAAGCTGGGCCCTCTCCGCCTCGCCGCCGCTGGGCGAGCCTCGCCCAGCTCCGCCCTCGCCGAGATCTGGCGAGGCGGAGCTCGCCTTGGCTGGGCGAGCTCCGCCCTCGCCCAACGGCGGCAAGGGCCCAGCTCGCCTCGCCGGAGCTGGGCCTCACCGGCGAGCCTCCCCCCTGGCCGGACAGGCCAGGGGGAGAAGGAAAAGAAAAAAAAAGAAAAAAGAAAAAAATTCGAAAATAATAATAAAAAAATATTAAAAATTGCCACGTGGACGCCGGCCGGCGCCACGTCAGCCGGCTGGCCAAAAGGACTGAATTGGCTGGTTTGCAAAAGGTTTAGGACTAAATTGGCCAAATTAAAAAGTTTAGGACTGAATTGGCACAAATGCAATAGATTGAGGACTGAATTGGTAATTTCCCCGTTGTTCATCCGTCTGTGCAGTAATATATACTATCGTAATTATTCCCACCGATATAAAGCAGGGAGTGAGAATTTTTGTATTGGCTTTCAGCTTTTGTTGTTATCCATGCATCCGTGAAGAAAAGCCGATGGAGAAATGTAAGTAAGAACTAAGAAGTAAGGTAAGAATTTCTGAGGCGATACGAAATTACATTTACTTGAATTTTAAGCTGTAGGTTCTGCCATCGCAGAACATATACAAGCCATTTGAAGTTGTTGAGCATTCTTTTTTTTCTTTTTCTTTTTTGATATTCCAAGTACACAAGCATAGAGCTGCCGCCATCTGGAAGCCCATCCGACACCCTACAAAACTCTGTTGTGCACGGAAGTGTGGAGGGCCACGGAATCAGGACGCGGAATAGAGTGGAAGAAGAGAATCAATACGAAAAATTTACGTGATTCGATCCGAGTCTCGGAACCTACGTTTATAGGGAGAGCCAACAAATAATCCATTATCAAATCGAAGGAGTATTACAAAGTTCACAATAACTAGCGGTCAAGTATTTCCCGGTCCTATAATTATACCCGAAACTCAAGATGTTTCACCTCACGTAGACACTCAAAATGGATGTAAATATATGCACGATCAAATTCAAAGATGAGGGCTCTCACCTCCTTCCGATGAGGGCTTCTCTCTGCCTCCACCTTCGGCCTCACATTGTGGCCTGTCTCCACCTTGCTCACTAGCTTCCTCTTCTTTATTAAAAGAGAAGCTAACGTGGAGAGAGATGACAAAAGAAGACAAGAATAAGAGGCATGATGAGCCATCATTATTCTTTCTTTTGTCTGGTTCATGATGGCCGAAGAAGAGCAACGTGCTCTTCATTTTCTCCTCCTTCTCGGTCAAAGTCAACAATGATGGCTTCTCCTCTCTTCAGAGAACAAAGTCAAAGAAGCTGCTCATTTTCTTCTTTCTTCTGCGCGTTCACATGGCCTTCGTCGATGAAGACAAAAGGCAAGAAGAAAACACATTTAATGCAAAGTGAGCCGCCGCCACTTTCCTCCATTCATCCATGAAGATGGCCATCACAAGCATTTTTCAATGCATCAAGAGAAAGAAACAAGTCCTTCGGCTCGATCACGCTTTCGCTGCGCCGAAGATTTAATGGCGTGCTTCTTGATATACGGGCTCAAATTCAAGATATATTTTAATAAACTTCATAAATCGATTAAATTCGGACATTTAGCATATGCAAATCATTTTAATTTAGAGCAATTTGCAAGAAGTAGATGAGTTCGAAAGCAAAACCTCCCGTTTTTTAGTCAGAAGCTAACACCCAAACCAATAGCGCCAGCTTTGGAATTGTTGTACACAGTCTTTATCGATGCCTCGAAACAAAGAACTATAGTTTCTAGGGCGCAGCGGCCAAACAATTGAGTGAGTGTGTACCGTAGAAGCATTGCTAACTAAGCCAAAAAGCAAGCAATGGCCTACGTTACTGGTGGATGAAATTCTATTCCTGTTAGATCATTAAAAAGAAAAGCATAAGAGTATACAGTTTTTTTTAGCCGAAAAAAAAATCATTCTTAAGAAAAAATCTGAAGAAACATCTTTTTTTTTGTTACGAGGATCTCAGCATCTCCGTAAAATGAAAGAAAGGGAATCATTTCAAGTTTTGCCTTAATGTTATGTCAGATATGTAATTAAATCTCAAACATTTAATTTACGCAATTGAATATATTAACTTGCATTATTTATGTGACTACATTATTTCATCATTAATATACTTAGTCACACTAATTTGGCTACTCACATGAAAACTTATAATCCTGGTTGTCAGTGTTTTCTCGAAAAATGACCACTTGTAAAGAATATAACACAGAATTGGTAGGCCCATATTTGTTAATATTTCGATGAAAAATATTAGAAGAAAGCGAAATTGATAGAATAGTTGAATTTTCCTCCTTCTTGTACTAATTTTCTTTTTCCTTTTAAATTAATGGCGTCTTCAACTGTCGATCAGGATTGACATGGCCACGGTTCGGAATCGGCGGTTCCGGGCTGGTTCCGGTTCCGGCCTCGTTCGGAACTAGTCGGTAAAAATTAAAAAAATAAATTATGAAATAAAAAAATAATGATTTATCAAATTATGAAATAATGAATTATTCAATATAAAATGTAATCAAAATGTACATTGTAATCAAATTTGGGGAAAAAAAAGAGTTTCTCCACTTATCTGCAAATTTTTTTTTTTTGGAACCGGGCCCGGAACCGGGCCCATAGGCCACGGGCCGGTTCCGGTTCCAAACCGCAGGCCCGGTCAACGGGCCGGTCCCGGATTTGACCCGGGCCGGTTCCGGGCTGAAACCGGCCCGTGGCCATGTCTAGATCAGGATCAGCAATGGTTACTGAACTGCTTGTCCAAGACTTTGGACCGGTGAAATTCAGTAGAGAACAGAGATTTTTCCTACGGGCTATCGTGGCATTCGTTCCTTCGCATGCAAAGACAAAAACGCCATGAACAAATCCATCGAAATTGAGAACCACGCAAGCGCACCATGGAAGATTCAAGGACCACCGAGGAATAAGAACAGGAGCCCAGTCGAAGAAGACGAGTCAGCACGTCACGATATGATATTACATCCTAATAAAAATATCTACCCTCATCTCATGGTTCGCTTGCTTGCCTGCTGGCCAAAACATCCAGTCAATTTCGCGGGGTCAACCGAGTTGATCACGATGGCCCACGTATCCGAGAAAGAAATTTCTGCCCACTTTCCGTCGTGATAAAAGACAACCGCTTTGATTATTGACATTGCAACCCCACCTTCCACCTTCTCATAAATGGGGGGCATTACTTCAAGGAACTAATGTTTCTCACACAAATGAACAAATCTTCGATATTTCAAGACTACGTACTGAAATACTGAAGTTCTTTCTTTCTCTTTTAGGGAAGATGTACGTGACGCGGCCTCTGTCCATGTACCGGAAGCATCCCGAGGCCCTCTCGGAGGCTCCACCGGCAGGGGTGGGCTCTGGATACCTGGTCATCCAGGACGAGGAAGCCCAGAACTTCTGCTGCTTCGGGCTGTGCAAGGACAGCCAGCTCTACGACTTCCCCTTCCCTCAGAACAAGGACCTCACCGTCCGGTACACGGAGAGCGATGGCAACACGAGCACGGTCTACAACGATGAGGTGTTCATGATCCCAGTCGTCGGCCAGCCCTTGTCCTCCAATCAGTACTATGCGATTCGGCGTCGCGGGAAGCATAAAGGGTACGATCGTCCTAAGTACTTTGAATGGTTTCACTTCCTGTCTGTTCTTGAATTAGGTAATGAATATGTTGATATTTATAAATAGGACAGTGGAATATTGGATGGATGATGAGGGGGTGTGAAAAATCTTTGCAAGAACTCGCTTTTGTTGCAATAGTTGAAGTTACGTCTTATCACGTCACTTAGCAAATAGGTTTTTGTAAAAGTTTAGCTGCTTATTGCCCGATTTATGTTCATGGCATTTCTCAGAAAGTCTAAATCATTCTATCTTGAATGGCCGTGTAGGGAAGCGCATGCTAATTCGACCGAAGAAGACAAAGGCACCTGCTTGTGCTTCCGATACGTTCGAGACAAGAAACCGAGCCCTTTGGATCCCGACGACATACACCAGCAGTTCGTGATCTACCGGCGTGAGATTATGTGCGGGTTTGGTGGCTTCCACGCGAAATCCGTTGCCCCGGATGGGTACCCTCCGAGATTCCTGAAGAGGAAAGGCTGGACCCTCCATGGCAAAACGCCCAGGAACTTCTTCCTGGATGACGATGCGCCAGGAGTCAACGACTCTCAGAGGTCAAAGCTCCCGAGCCTTGACTTCTCGATCGACAGGAAGAACTCAGACCCGGTGGTGGTGGGGAAGTGGTACTGCCCGTTCATGTTCATCAAGGATGGAGAGGTCGGGGACCAGATCAAGACGTCGGCGTTCTACGAGATGACGCTGCAACAGAGGTGGGAACAGGTCCATGCCTGTGAGAATTATGCCAGTGAAGGCAAAGCTGTGGAAGTGGATGTGCTTGTTCAGAAGGAGGCCATCGCAGTGTTCGGTGAGGAACCTGGGGAGGGCAATGTGAGTGATGGAGTGATGTGGTTTAGGAGTAGGACTAGAGTGATAGGACTGAGCATGTTGATTGTGGAGAGGATGAGGTGGGAGGAAGAGAGAGTGGGTTGGGTGAAAGAGGGAGAGAAGAGAGTAAAGGTGAAGAGAGTGGAGGAGTTCATCAAGAGCGAGTTGAGCCATGGTTGGAAGAGGTTTGGTTTTTATGTGTTGGTGGAGAGTTTTGTGCTGAAGAGAATGGATGGGACTTTGGTGTTGGCTTATGACTTCAAGCACACTCACCAAGTGAGGAGCAAATGGGAGTGACAGATTTCCTCATCTATGTTCTGTTTTTTGTGGGTTTAATCTTGCTATTTCTGACTGGTGTCCATTAGAGCCCAGCTAAGTTCTTTTGCTAGTCATGTTTGATTTGTACTTGTTCCTTAGTGTTGTTCATTCGTCTGTGCTGTAAAATACGTTGTTGTAACTATTCCTACGGATATAAAGCAAGAAGGGAGGATTTTTGTATTGGCTTTGAGTCTTCGATGTTGTCCATATCCATCCATGAAGAATAGTCAATGAAGAAATTTAAGTAAGAAGAAGTAAATGTAAGAATTTTAGGTTAGACCGTGACAAGATAAGGGGTTAGTTGAATTTCAAGTCCGCTTTCTTGGAAGGCAAAAGGTCCGGGCATTGCGTCTGAAGATCATATGCAATCTACTTGAAATTGTTGCACGTACTTCTTCTTCTTCTTGTTTATTTATATTCCAGGAGCACAGGCATGGAACCTGGCTATATGGAGGCCTTTGCAACATCGTGCAACCAGCATGAACCGATTAAGTTCGGATGCTTGACCTATGCAGATAATCCTAGCACAGAGCAGTTTGCACGCAGTTGATAGGATTCAAAGGGGGATTTCTAATTTTTAAGTAAAAATCCTTCAACTCTCCAACCAACTGCATCGACTGTGCCACATAAAATGGTTGTTGTGTACGTCAACGATTTACGGCCAAAATTGGCTTGAAAAACTAAATTAGCAAATTTTCAAATGGTTTAAAACTTAATTAACAAATTGTCGAAAGGTTTAGGACTAAATTGGCACAATTGTTCGACGAAAAAAAATTGACACAATTGAAAATTTTAGGACTGAATTAGTCACCGTACAATAGATTTAGGATTTTTTGGAGAATTTTCCCGACAAGTTTGCAAGGGATATGGACATGGAGGTTGAGTAATTGTGCCCTTGAAGACCTTTCCCTCCCCCTTTAATACTCGAGACTTAACCATGCCGAGGACCGCCAAATATGTATATATAAAAAAGTGCCCTTGGGACTAGCTACACGTGTGCTTCAGCCAAGCGACCATTGACATGCCTTGGATAAGCTTGGGGTCTTGACCCTTTGCTCGTAGCATGGAAATGAAATGATATGGAGCTATTCTCAATTACAGTTAGATAGAGACGAGAAATGCAAATTCCGCTCTGCCTCTTTACAGGCATGTTGATTGATTATTATGAGAATCTTTAGCTAAAAAACACGAAGCCCTTCCCCGAAATTGAGCAAAGAGCATATCGTTTTTTCTAGCGAGAAAAAAAAATCATTCTCAAGAAAAATCTAAAGAAACACATTTTTTTGGTATATCATTTCAAGTTTTGTCTTAATCTTATGTTGGCCGCGTAATTAAATCCCCAAACTTTTCATTTATGCAATTGAATAATTTGATTTGCATGATCAGTCTGATTACCTAATTTCATCATTAATATACTAATAATTATATGGCACTCGAGTAAAAACTTTTAATCTTCATTGTTAGTGTTTCCTCGAAAATGGCCACTCTTAAAGAATATAACAAAGAACTGGTGGGCACATATTAAGTACCAAGTGGTTATATTTGGATGTACTGTATTTGAAAAATTCAAGAAATTACAGGTAGCCGATGCATGTGTCAAGTGTGATTGCATAGACATTAAAATTAATATTGACATAATTATGTTGAAAAAACCAATAACAAGTTTGAAGCGAGTGTGCAAAAAGGACAGACCCGTTTGGAACAATCTTTTGTTACATTAGCAGTGGACCCAACATTAACAATACTTTTAGTTACTTAATATGCGGCTATTCGACTTTATCTTTTATTGTACAAAAAGTATTTGGAAATTATAAATATTTCCCCACACTAATATATATATATAACGTTTTCACAATTTTTGCAAAGAGCTAAATGAAATTCTGCGTAGATGAGCAATCGGACATCACGATCCCCGTCCGACCGCAAAACAAAAGTAAGGCGAGAAAATATTAGACACCCTAGGATTGCCATATCAACGTGCTCCGATACCATTAAAATTGTGACACCTAGATAGAAAAAAAAAAGTAATTTAAAAAAGATAAGAGTCAGGATTTAAAGTGGGTCCCGCACTTTTCAGTTTCTTCTCTCACCTGTGCTGCCTTGCTTTCTCTTTTCTCACTCTCATTTTTCTTCTTCCTCTTGCTTGTGAAGCTCATGGCGATGGGGGGAGGGGCTAAACTTCCACAATGCGCTGGCCCTTCACTACGCCGTGGAGAACTGCAGCCGGGTGGCGGTCAGGTCGCTACTTGAGCTCGGGGCTGCCGGCATTAATTGCCCTATGAGGCCGACGGGGAAGACCCGACTCCACGTCGTAGCCTAGATAGTGTCCCTCGATATAGTGACGGTCCTCCTCGTCCTTTTTCTGTATTTGTTGATTTATACGTGCAAATTATAGCATGGCATGTTGGAATTCATAATTGAGGGTGAAAAATGGTTTTTTTTTTTTTGTTAATTGTCAATTGTGAATCAATTTGTTCAATCTTCCTTATTATTGATTATTTCTTTGTAATCTAATTTTTTTGGTCAAAAGTAAATATTTCATTCACATTTCAAGATGATACACGAGAAGTTCAAAACAAAGCAAATGCCAAACAGTAAAGTAGAACAACAAAACATAAACTGTTGTGGTAAGCACACTTTCATCTTACAAAAATGGATATGTCTCAACATCAAAATAAAACAAACGGCAACTGCCAATTACCGAATCTCGCATCGTCATTAATGATGACACACATAGTTATCTCCTCCAATAGGAATGGCTTGCCCAATGAGCTATGCATGCCTATATCATTCTCCAATAGCAACGGCTTGCCCAATGGGCTATGCATGCCTAGTTCAGTGTCCTCAACACCATCATTTTACGAAAACGCCAAAAATAGGTTGAACATGCTCCCATATCTAGATCTAGACTAAAAGATTCCAAAGTTTGGAGAAGTCATATAACTTCTTACAATGCAGCAAGAACTCACTGTATCTCTTCTCAATTTTGTTGAACTTCTTGGTACGAAGGATCCGAAGTAAAGGGTTGATTCCTACCGATGAAAGCAAAACTGAGTCAGAGAAGAGAGAGAGAGAGACAGTAACGAAGAAGAGAGTAGCATAGGAGAGAAAATAACAGAAAAGAAAAGACATTATTTGAAAAGTGAGCTCCACTTACATACATGGCGATTAACTAATTGATTGGAGGCCTACGTGTCACTCCTGAGCACCCAATATTTTCTCCATTGAGCCCCTCCCCAATGAGGAAATATTGTGTACAACTGTAATGCCACGTCACATTTGCACTAATCCATTCAATGAGTGATCGCGTGTCAATTATATGTTTTTACTTTTTTTCCCCTTCTTTTTCTTTTTCCTTTTTTTTCTTTCTTCCTCTTCCTTTCACTCCACCGGGGACAACAACAAACAAACGTCAACTCAAACTTGTGGTCAACTCAACCTTGTGAATCGCCTTCCACCAACACCTCACCACCATCTCAGTCCTCCATCCATTACCACCTCATGGCCTTCCACCACCACAGCACCATCCTCACTTCCACCCTCAACCACCGATGAGATCCCTGTTTTCCCCAACCCCTCCCCACGGATATCTACCAGTAAAGCCTCTGCTCTCAGCCGATGGTCCCTCGCCTCCGATCTCCACTAGCTCAACTACGCTCATCTTCGCCGTCATCAAGCTCGAGCTCAGCCAGTGAACTTGAGCCTCAGATTTTGGATCTAATCTCGGGTGAACCCTAGATTCAGGATCTAGAGCTCAGCTTGACCTCGAATCTGGGTTGATTCGACATTGACCAGGGTCGGCGGCTGCCACAGCTAGATTTTTTAGGTCAATGGCTGTAACGTCCTTACCTCGAGGTTATTAATACGACGTTCCAGGCTCGTCGCCATCCCATTTCTTTTATCTGATTAATAAGCACATGCGAAAACGTGTACAAACAAACTCCCAAATAAAATAATAGCTGGAAATTAGGGAAAGCACAATAGGCAAAACACACTATTGTCATATTATATAAACATATTTCACACGCCCTTTTCTACGGGCCATTCCACGTACAAACTATATCTGGTTACATCACAAGCGAAGGCCGGGGTTAATCCTAGCTCCTCTATGTCAACCTCCATCTCGGCAGGTACACCAAAACTAACCGGGGGCGCGGAGCTCATTCTAAAAGCATGAAAAACAACGTAAACGAGTTGAAAACTCAATGAGTAAATTCACTAATACTCGTGTAGGACGATGCCTCGTCATCGTACTAACACATACAATTATTTTCCCTGCCTTATGTCGATAGCAAATCAATAGCAAAGACTTTGACCTTGCCCTTGCTATGTTTACATAAAAGCTCACCTTTATCCGATCACATAAAAATATACAAGAAAATTTACACGTGAAGCCTCACAACCAATCGGCATGCAAAAATACCCAAAAATATTCACACGTGAATTCATTTATTTTACAGTCGAAATCCATCGGGGCATCGCCTTCTCAATACGTGGGTGATGAGTCCTCTGGGATCCTTCGGGCATTCGGAAAACTTCGACTTATCAATAAATACACAGACTGGCACACATATAAGATTCATTTATCGTCATCCCGGCTTAACCGAGGTATCCAGCTTCATGCTAGGCATCTTAGGTCAACCAAGGCATCCCGGCTCAATCGAGGCATCCCGGGGCTAGCTTACCGAGGCATCCGGGCTCAACCCAGGCATCCTGGCTCAATCAGGGCATCCCGGTTCAACCGAGGCATCGCCGTCAACGCTATGTGACGACGGTCTTCTTCTTTCATTTAGTGATCACACATTATGGGTCGCACAAGTCGATTTATTATCCTATATCTTAACCCACGCACATAAGGTCCTAGTTGCTATGTACACATGAAAAGCTCATAAGCTCATAAATCAATAAGCATGGTTAAGAACATCAACATATCACCCAAACTACCACATCCAAGTGTCATGCAACCATGCACAAGAACAAAATCATTTCAAGCAACAACAACCTCCCAAGCCGCGTTCCAACCACGTAACACACCGCCCTATCCAAGTGTTAGGGAATTGACTTACCTGCAAGCACAAGAAAACGTCTACGGGTGTCGAACGGGGAAACGGGGAAACAGCGGTTGGCGACGGCGAACGGACGAGAGAGAGGGAGAGAGGTACTCAGCGTGAGGGTAAAGGGT